AAACACACGAAGCACTCATAAAATATTGAGGAAGGGTTTTTGTTTGTTGTTTATTTGGCACAACACTCAGCAATATTCTAGCAGTATGAACGTGGTCTATATAAAATCGAGTTTGAACCAGACAATGCAGTGATGATATCATGAGCATCGATCTACACAACTGGGATACGATGACATGCATTAACCAAGTCAGCGAGCCTGACCACCCGATCCCGTTAGTCGCCTCTATCGACAATCATAGTCTGCTGGGGGTCGAAATCCCTAAGGTGAGGTGAGGTGAAATGGGGTTTAACGTCGCGTCCAAGATTATTGCGTGCATGCACATGTGTGTGTGTGTGGCTGCTTGTACTAGTCCGGACTGATGCCGATTTATAGTGCTAGCTCACTGAGATACCATGCCGCAGACATAGTATACTGACTCAGAGCCGACCAGTCCTTGTTTTTAGCCCCTTTAACCGAACGCCAGACAGGGTAACAACAAGTACAATCTTTTTACGTATTTTGGTATGACGCGGCCGGTGATCGAAACCCGGACCTCCCGCTCTTCTGGCGGACGCTCTACCACTACGCTCTACGCTCTACCTCTGCGGTCTGACTCTCCAAGGAGCGATCACGCCTATGAAGTACTGACGGTGATTTTATTGTTTGTCTACTACATCTTATTGTGTCCTATGATTTTGAAAATAAATTGCTTGTCATATAGAACTTATGACTCGTGATCAGGAATGAATCTTAAAGTAAAGCTAGGATTAAATTAACTGATATTTCGGCCAATAAGAAATAATGAACATAAACTTTCAGTCTTAAGAAATAATGTCTTTTTATTTGAAGAAAATATAATTTAATATTTTGTGACAGGAGTTACCAGGCCTACAACCAAATGTTCATGGAAGGGAGGTAACTTTTGACGGATTAACTGATGCCCAAAAGTCGGTCCATGCTCAAGTCTCTGAACATTTAAGTTCGTATCCTGAAGAATCGTTTTTCAATATTGTAAAATATGGTAAGTTCGTAGTTATTATTTCATGAAAAAGAAGTCCATTATTATCCTCACAGTTTATATTTTCACCATCTTGTGCCTGAATGACGTATAACATTAAAATTAGCTATGTTACCAGGCGCTCGTTCAATGATCTTAATAAAATACCGTGTTTATTTATTGACGAAACGTACTAAACAACCCCTCAAAGAGTTCAGATTTATGATTGTTAATATAATAAAACCTTCACTGCCAGTTTGCGACAAGTACAAGATTGGCACTACACCACACAGCCGAGCGTCAGGTAGAAGTGCGTTTGAAGTAAGAACAACATGTCTGCCTGGTGACGTTTACGACGTGTTTAAGTATTCTTCAATAATTTTAACGATTTTGAATCGTGAAATTAACAAAACTGAGGACTGCAAAATGTTACCAGAAAATCGTTGAAACCCGTCTTTAACCCCTTGAATTTGTTTTGTTTTTTTTAATTATACATATAACTGGACATTATTCAATAAGAAAGAACCCGTTGACACATTTTGTTTGATGAACATTTTATAAAAAATGTTGTGATATATACTCTTCAAAAAAAGAAACTTGACATAGATGTAAAACCACTTTTTGCCAGATATCTAACATAATTACATTAAATGAGAACCAAATAAGTCAAACAGAAAGATGATGTGTCTATAATTCGCGAAAACACATGCAAAGCACATAAACATAGCGTTTGGGGGTCAATTTTACATCCAAGCGCAACCGCCTGTAAAAAACGTGCAGCACAGGATCCTGCATTTAGGCATGCAGCCCCCCCCCCCCCCCCCCCCCCCCCTGCTGAATGTGTATAAAAATCCACATCAACGGCTGTTCATACAGTCCTTATAACGGCAGTAGAGGCGGTGACAGAATGCCAAGACTGAATGCAGCTCAACGGAACAACGCCATTGGAAGATTACAAGCTGGAGCAACTCAGCAAGAAGTGGCCAGGCACTTTGGCGTATCCAGACAGACAATCTCCGCACTGTAGACCCGATACAACAACACCAACAGAGTTGACGACAGACACACACACACATACATACCTAATTTTGACAAAACTATACTTAAGATATACATAAAATATTACAATGATAGCTGATTTAATATATGTTATAGATAATCATAGTAATGCATTTCATATTATTATCACCTTTAGCTATGTGGCCACACTAATTATGTCTCTCCATATGTGTAGCTTACAAAAGTACACATATCAACTGTGGTAACGCCTCAGCGATGGGGGCAGTGGGGTAGCCTAGTGGTTAAAGCGTTCGCTCGTCAAGCCGAAGACCCATTTCGATTCCCCACATGGGTACAATGGTTGAAGCCCATTTCTGGTGTCCCAGCCGTGATATTACTGGATTATTGTTAAAAGCGACGTGAAACCATTCTCACTCACTCACAGCGGTGTTTATCAAATTACTATATGCAAGTTCATATAATTGTAGATTTGCACAAGACAAGAAACACAATTCAAGTTAAACATACATCAAATGTCAAAAGAAATATTAACGGAAAACAGTATGACACACTGTAACATCATATACTACCGAAAACAAGTTATAGAACACCCAAAATTATACGATTGTATTTTTGCTAAACAATCAGCCATGACTAATGAACCATAGTCTTCTTAACTTCTTTTGAAAAGTATATTTTTAGATTTTAACCTGATTTACTTAGAGCGTATTGCCATGATCTGCCACATTCATACAACTGAATAGGGCCATAAGTCAATCAATTACATTTTAGCAAAAATCTGTGGATTGTTTTAAAATTAACTACGTCTGTACAGTTAAATTATGTTTTAAGTAAATAGTGAGAAACGTTCAACATTCCCTTCCAATTGGAGCAGATACCACATGCGGCCCCTATAGAGGTCAAGAGAGGATACTGCTTAACCGCGAGAAAGCGAGAAAGCGAGAAAGCGATAGAGCGAGAAAGTGATAAAGCGAGAAAGCGATAGAGCGAGAAAGCGATAAAGCGAGAAAGCGATAGAGCGAGAAAGCGATGTCCCCTCTCGGCCACCAAACTCGACCGCATATTTCACGTGTTTGTCAGGACTTCTTACAGCACAACAACATCCAGACATTACCTTGGCCAGCCCGGTTACCAGATTTGTCCCCGATTGAGTATATGTGGGACGAGTTGGATCGACGCGTTCGCAGAAGGAATCCACCGCCCCAAACACTTCCGGCGCTTCTTGATGCACTTCAGAATGAATGGCAGCACATCCAACAGCGTGTTATTGACAACTTGATTGCATCTATGGGTCGTCGGTGTCAAGCGGTGATTGATGCACGTGGTGGCCACAACCGATACTGACATTTTCTGTACCCCTGTGACATTAACTATATCGTGTACATGTGTCTGTCTAGGTGACACGATTAATGTTTGGAACATTGTGTACATTTATCTTCAAACAGTGTTTCAATTATGGTTTCTGTGTCCTATTTTGAATCAATCGCATTATATTACATTTTGAAAGTCAGTGTCAAGTTTCTTTTTTTGAAGAGTATACATTTTAGTAGATATGGAATTATTTTTATTTTTTCAAATTGTTAATGTATTGATATATGTCATGTTAATATTCTATATTTATCATTATGAATATATAGAGCAAAACGTTCAGTGTCAGTTTGCAACGACTGTGCAATTTGGCGCAACACAGCCGTTAGTGTGTGTTTTGCTTAGTGGTGCGGTTTCAAGGCAGCAACTCTCAGACAAAGAGTATATAGACGCTAGAGATCAGGAAATTGTATACAAGCATGAGCAGCATATACTGCAGTGCAAAAGAAAGTACACACTTGAAAATTGGATTTGACCAAAACATTAAAAATGTTATTAAAATGTTACAAGGCTGAAAACAGTCACCGAAACACTGCAATGAATGAACGAATAAACATCATTTTACGCCGCATCAGCCATTCTCCGGATAATCGGCGACCGAATCACTAAAAGCTTAAAACACAACTGTGATACCCGTATCAAATACATCACCAGCGAATAACCATTTGTTTGTTTCAATTTAAGCCACCATCAAACATTGGTGTGTACTTTCTTTTCCCCCGCAATTTACATGTACATACAGTTTTACATTCGCATTGGTTAAATGCGATTTTAATAAACATAAATAAATAAATAAATAAATAAATAAATAAATGAAAGACAGATAATTGAAACACTTTGAACCTTGGTAGCTCCAGTGGTGCTTCAGGTGCTCTGAAACGTAGTCGTATATCCTTTCACAAGCTTCTTAGAACACCACATTTGCCTCACTATCGTCTTCAAATCAGAAATGCTTGAAACCACGTGTTTGTTAAGCCATCACACATGCATTTCTCGAAAAGTGAAACTCCGTTAATCCGGAATCTGCGTTATGAAAAGATCATTGGACTGTAGACATCTTAGTGAAGGCTAAAAACACAGAGACGCACGAACAGTACAGGGTCAAATCAGCATTACTTGAAGCGCTCGGTAAAACTTCAACAATCCATTGAGAAGTCATGAAGCAGAACGCTGTTACTCTTACATCCGGGTTCCCATTTTAAGGTAGGGTGATACATAATTTGAAATTCAGATTCAAACGTCAAATTATTTTCAAGGTAACGTCTTTAACTCACAATCATCGAGAAAATCGAAATATTCATGATGTTGGTAAGGCCTCTGTATGAACCAGAGAGCTTGGTTATTTGAGTGAGCGAGGTTTGTTGAAGGGTATGGTTCTGGCAAATTAGAAAAAGGGTCCGGCCGAATTGGGATTCGAACCAGCGATCATACGTTTTAAGGGACACAACTCTGCCCAGCGAATTCTTAATTGAGTTCAACGAGTTTTAACTTTGGAATGATTTCCATATTCGTCCATAATACGCGGCGTCTGGATAATCGAGGTTTAAGGGTATCTGGGCATCGTTTGGCATATACCAAATGGTGTTCTTTCTGCAGACTTTTTTTACTTCCCAAACTTGCGGTGCAAGACTTCTTAATTGCAGAATAATGCGTAGAATTCCATACGAAACTGCCTTCCACTGAACGTGTACGTAATAAAATTTGTGGAATTGTTGAGGTACATGAGAAGATTGACGCATGCGTACACAAGCCGGCGTTGGGCGTCAGCTTCCGGTGACTCGTCCTTCTCCCAGTAAATCAAGGAAACGAGGTACATAGATATTGGTAGCGTGCAGACGAGGTATACCAGATTGAGGCTCAGAAGCATGACAGTCATGGACGTCACCTGACGTTGTCTCATAACGGCGCGTTCGTTCGACGCCATGTGAAGCTGGGCCATGATGCGGATCCCGGTTACCAAACGAATGATGATAAATGTGTTACCGACGATGTGGAAAAGAAACGGCCCGATTGAGAACAAACAGAGGTCAATCCAGGGAAAAACATATTCCAGGAAGTAATCATATATTTCTGTTTCAGTACCACACAGCAGAAAGAAATGGCTGTTTATTCCGAGAAGCGAGAAACACACAACAATCATATTAACGGTGACAGTTTTTGTTGTGCACATGACCTTGGCTGTAAGCGGATACCATACTAGTAAGGCGCGCTCAATTGTAACGGAAACAAGAATCCAGGCAGAAAGGTCAAGGCTGACGTAAACCAACCACGTGTTGACCTTGCACAGAGCAGGGTGAAGGTCACGCACATCGACGTCAAACATGTAAATAATCCATTGTCTCAATAGCCCGCTATACAGGACGAGTATATCGGAGACAGCTAGGAAGGTCAGATACAAGGGCATGTTGGACATGTGTGACCTGCGCATCGACTTCCGGGTCAACACAATGACGGACAACGTGTTACCGATTGTTCCGATTATTATCAATATTGGTGGGAAAATCTGCCATATAAGGATTGCCAGTGCTTCCTGTGGTAGGATTACATGGCTTGCGTTGTTCCCGGTCTTCATCACTGTGGCTTGTTGACTGGTTTTGGAGCATCTGGTTGATGACACACGTTCTTAGCGGCAAAATATGAACATCGTTAGGAAGTCAGTTATTCCCCCGTGTTGCTCATGGTTAAAGTAGGTAGGTGTACATGAAATATTCAGTTTCCATATTTGGCTCTGGATGTAAATATATCTTGGAGTTAAGGTTCTGAAATATTTTGAATAGTTTCATGTCTTTGATACGTTTCCAGATAAAATACTTGCACCCGTTCATCATTGATAAGTTGCTGCATAAATTAGTTTCAACCTTTCATCAATGATAAGTTGCTTCATAAAATAGTTGCACTCGTTCATCTGTGGTAAGTTGCTTCTTAAAATAGTTGCACGTGTTCATATGTGGTGATGTCCAGATGGAATAGTGAAACGTATTCATCATTGATCAGTTGCACCACATTGCATGTGTTCATCATTGATCAGTTGCACCACATTGCATGTGTTCATCATTGATCAGTTGCACCACATTGCACGTGTTCATCATTGATCAGTTGCACCACATTGCACGTGTTCATCATTGATCAGTTGCACCACATTGCACGTGTTCATCATTGATCAGTTGCACCACATTGCACGTGTTCATCATTGATCAGTTGCACCACATTGCACGTGTTCATCATTGATCAGTTGCACCACATTGCATGTGTTCATCATTGATCAGTTGCACCACATTGCATGTGTTCATCATTGATCAGTTGCACCACATTGCACGTGTTCATCATTGACCAGTTGCAACTTAATATAGTTTATCATCATGGAAAAGTATATGTTGAATAGATTCTCAAGTTGACATATACAATATTTCCGCATGTGGATCCCAAATAGAGTGATGTATTGAATGAGTACGACGTAAGTTAATGAAGTGTACCTCAGCTAAATACTTTCACAATTTATCATGAATAGGTCTTATTTGTGGCAGATGCAGCTTACATAGCTGCCGCATTACAACGCGCAATACCTGCACCTTTGCACCTGGTCTTCTGGAACACACCTTTCCTGGAGTCTACAGATGGAACGGGATGCTGTCGCCACCCATAGGGAGCCATGGAAACAGGGTTTGTTACAGGATCTAGTGTTCTTGTCCTTACCTTAGAGGGTTATCCGAACTAGTGTTGGGATTATATATGGTAATATCCAGTTACACAAACATAACGTCGAATACCATTTACAAATCCAAGGTACAAATAGCCAATAGCACCCGCTTGACTCATTGTGTTTATCTCCGACATTATCTCACATTGATCTGCGAAAGATTCCTTTGTTCCTGGAAGCCGTAAACAGACCGACTGGAACGTATCGGCATGGACTTTCAAAAATACCAGAACACTGACAAAATACTAAATGCCCATAGTCCATCCAATTTCAAAATCAGTTATTGTTCGCGGATATGATGGCATGAAGATCAACGTACTAATCCAGCTTCAAAGAAATGACCCGATCAGAGACTCCATCTCTTGACCATTAAGGCAAACCGATATATCCCGAATGTCTTTTCAAAGGTTCCCCCGAACTCATTGAGAACTGTATGTTGACGGTCTTGATACGAATCTCCTTTGGAGCGGCAGTCCTAACGATGTCTACACAAACACACTAAATCAAATCCTTGGCACGCCTTGAACAACATGGACATGCATTGAAGTGCGCATTGTGTCTGTAGAGACGGCGCCTGGTACTTATGCTGGCTTCCCGACTGCGCAGCGCGTCAGTTGATGACCACGTAACAGATGTGGGTCTCGTTAACTTGACTCTGACGTTGTCCAGATACGATCCCTTAGTGTCATTGGCGAGTCTTTATTGACTGTAAAAGTGGATTAATTGTTCATTTATTTTGAAATATTTAAGGTACATTAACATCTGCATAAACATCTTTCACTCGATAATCTTTATGGCTTTTGACTGAGTGGAGTCATTCGGACTTTATCGCAGTTTTCCGTACATTATCGGAAAAGACGAACGGCTTGTTGTGCAGCTGAGTGAGTATGGTTTTACGGCGCGTATGGCGTAGTACCAGCAACATCACGACAGGAGACACCAGAAGTTGGCGTCATATATTGGACTCATGTGCAAAATCGAACCCGGACCTTCGTCGAACGTTTTAGCCACAATGCTACGCAACCACACTGTGCAAATGAGTGAGTGAGTGAGTGAGCTGGATTTAACGCCGTTTTTAACAATATTCCAGTTATATCGCGGCGTGTCAGCTTTATGTGGGAGGATAGCCCGAAGTGATGCAGGTCTCAGACGTTTACCACTTCGGTGAAACCCACGAGCACGGGTATGGTGCTGACAAACCTAGAAACATAATCGGGGCCAACAGGGATTCGAATCAACAATCATAGGTTTCTGGCGTGCCCAAGGGACGCAACTCTGCACAGCGAATTGCGGCGCCTTAGACGACTGGGCCACCCGTGCCCCACTGGGCAGATGAAAGCTGTGATTTTTCAGTAAACAACAATTTGAGTAAACCCCATGAGTGGTTGCATGATACTGACGGACCAGGGAATTTTAATGCTTCTAAGGAATTAATATGTTCAAATCAGATCTTTTACGATACGATACCTCGCTCTAATCAGCTAATACGTGTCAAGGCTTCTAAATTCTTGGTAAAAGAAAATGAGTGAGTGAGTGTGGTTTTACGCCGCTGGAAACAATATTCCAGCAAAATCACGGCGGGGACACCTGAGAAAGATGTGAGGTGAGGTGAGGTGAGGTGAGGTGAGGTGAGGTGAAATTGGGTTTAACGTCGCGTCCAAGATTATTGCACTTATAAAGCGACGTGCATGCACGTGTGTGTGTTTGTGTGGCTGCTTGTACTAGTCCGGACTGATGCCGATTTATAGTGCTAGCTCACTGAGATACCATGCCGCAGTTTAACATGAATACCCCACTCAGACACAGTATACTGACTCCGAGCCGACCAGTCCTTGTTTTAGCCCCTTAATGCCGAGCGCCAGACAGGGTAACAACAAGTACCATCTTTTAACGTCTTTTGGTATGACGCGGCCGGGGATCGAACCCCGGACCTTCCGCTCTCCGGGCGGACGCTCTACCTCAAGACCACGGAGGCGGTTACCTGAGAAAGAGAAAGAGTGAGATGTCTCGACGCGTAAGACAAGACATACTTTGAACCTTTAGTAACTAACCTGCCGGGATAAGAAAGTATACGCCCATGTTAGACAAACAACATATGGTTATTAGATGGTTTATTTGATTTATATATATCTGAGTTTATTTTCAAGGGGAAAATATACGTCATCCAGAAAATATTAACTTTCTCAAGACATTTGTGTTCGATAAGCATCAGAAAACAGTCAATGTGTTGTATTATGAATATTGAAATTGAATATTGAATTATGAAATTGACTACACTTACATAATGTATCACAGATAAGGTTGTTTGTTTGTTTGTTTGATTGTTTATTTGTTTAACGCCGCAATATTCCAGCTATATGATGGCGGTAAATAATCAAGTCTGGAACAGACAATCCAGGGATTGACATCATGAGCATCGATCTATTCATTTGGGAAATGATGACGCGCATCAACGGAGTCAGCGGGACTGATCACCCGATCCCGTTCGTCGCCTCTTATGGCAAGCATGGGTTGCTGAAAATCTATTCTATCCCGGAATCTTCACGGAGGTGGACTTCCCCAATTGAAATTTCGATATTGGAACTTCAAGAATTTGATGCAAGACAGGTTTAAGTTCGCACCTCTTGAGAGAAATGGTAACATTTGCCAATACCCAACAGCAGCTGTTGCAGGAACGTTGGTGCATTGGGGGTAGTAGTGCTCGTCGTTGTTGTAAATATTTATACTTGTTTGGGATTCATTGTAGACATTCGGCGCCAGTTGTAATAGAGTGTCATAGTCACCAGCGTTGTGGCGTGAGTGACTTGAATTTAACGCAGCTTTGCCCAGTATACCAGTTACATCACGGCGTGTCAGCTTAATGTGAGGGGAAAGCCCAAAGAGATGAACCCAGGCTAAACGCGAGCACTGCTGTGCTGCAGACGGACCAGGAATCATAAGCAGACTAAAACTGGCATTTGAACCCTCGGATTCTGGCACGATAAAGGGACGCAACTCGCGCTAATTGCGGCACCTTACACGATTGGGACACCGCCAGGAATATAACAATATATGCACAATGCTGACAGATGTATGAGCTTGTCTCAAAGGGAAATAAAAATCGTTCTATGGTTAATCAATTTCCTTTATCACTTGTTATGCAAATGTTGTGAAGTGTTATGACAAACGTACTTCACTTGATAGAGTACCAGTAAACAACCGAGACCAAATATTCGGTAAAGGCCATTGATAAATGGCGGCGATGTTCTTCTCCTTGTAATCACTCTAAATCTAACATTCTCGTCACAAAGTTGTCCTCTCCTTGAAGATCACAACATGTTAAATGTAGTCCGGTTGTCACAAACTATTTTGATTGGACAGATATTAAAGGCGGATAGCCAATCAAATGGTTTGAAACAATACACGTGACTTCCGGTGTTAAAGAAGGGACGAGGAGAACTCTATCTTCCTTTATGGTCGGTTTCCAGCTCTTGGGGACAACAATAAAACCGTTTAACCTAAATTACAGAAACCGTGAAGTGTTGAAACTTCTTTCCCTCACTGATTAATGCAAACATTCAGCTTTTTTGACGTATACAGCCAATATGAAGAGTGCGATATGATGAAAAATCAATGTTTATCTCCTAAACCAAGCACTGCGTTGGCCACTCCCAATGTGCACCTGGCTGCATTAATGGTTCTTGCATCATTGACGGTTTCCAGTGTTC